GAATATAAAATCTGACTTCCCGCATGTGTCCGAGCACAGAGCTTCCCGATTCCGATTTCGAGAGCTACTTGACTGCCTTTTCGATCTTTTTGGGGACGGGACGTGCATTGATAATACAACAGACACAAAATCAGTTAACATATAAAGCAATAGAACACGACTAAACACGCACAGATGCATGCACTGAGGGAGGGAGGGAGGGGGTCTCGCTGACTGAGTCATATTTTCAAGCATAACGTATCTGGCTGTGCTGACTTGGCTGTACTATGACAATGTAGGCACTCAATAAACCGTTTGCAGACAACGTACCACGTAGGAATATTTCCTCAGCGAGAACTTAATTATGCAACACACCGCTTCGTCGATACTAAGATTTGTTGAAACATGTTGTGACAGAATTAGAATTTGTTTGCTTTCGTATTTACATATATTTTCACTTGTTGATTGTTGTGCAGTATTAAAGTAACTATCGGACACTAACTTGCGGATCGAAACTTCTGAAATCTAGTTGCACGGAAACCGTCCTCTTTTCTGCCTAACAACGAGTCCGTGGATCAAAAACAATCAACGAATGATAAAATGAACAAACATATTTTATGAAATAACCGATCACTGATCCCTTTTTGCGCAAATAGGCCCAAGAGAAGTCCATAAAACTCTTATTCTAACTGTTACTTACATTGTGGCTTAAAGTTACGGCTACGATAGCAAACGGTCACAGTTTTCCAGTTCGTCGTTAAGGCCCCCCACACTTGCTTTTTGTCACCGCTGGTTTCTATCAGTGAGTCGATAACATATAGATTTAATTTTGCTTACGAAGTTACTTCTCTCGTATTTGCTAATAAGACAAAAAAAAAAACGTCGGCCTGCTTATACCGTAAATAAGCAAAAGTCGTTCCCGAACGCTGCACATGTTATATTAAATGAGGATAAATTAACATATCGTGCTCTTTTGGCTGTCGGTAGCAAGCCGATGAAGACCATGCATTCAGACCATTTTCCAGCTCCTATTCAAGTGAATCAAGCTGCAACATTTAGTGGTACATTCTCATTTTTCCTCTTTGATTCCGTTTGGAAGCACTCACTCGCAAACGGGTATACTTCTGCTGTTCAGGCCAGCTCAACGCATAGGCGTTGTTTTTCTACAGATCGAGTTCGTTCGCTACCCATGTCGTTTGTCGTTTTCATTACCTGCCAGATACGCAGCTCGTTTGAAGCGTCGGGACAAAACTAAAAATCATAGGCAGTCATGATGACTATGGAACGTGGAGCTTTCTAAGTATGTTGTCAATATATATCTTTGGGTACTCTAGAAAAAAAGGCTACAGGGCACAGTTTGAGAACAGGGGCAAATGCATCAATTTGTCACCCGGTATGAATCATTTGAGGCATATGCGATAAGATCGCTAAGTACGATTCGTTACTCGAAGGCAATATTTCTATATCTGAGTGCTTCCGTGTGATTTTGGCAGTCGTCGGTACGCATCGAAGATATGAACAAACGAAGATTAACTATTGTTGTCGTTCATTTCTTTTACCGTACTTAGTTTGGGCGAATCTTCATTGTGGTCATCTGCGTCACAATTGCGACCTGACATCTTCATCTTTATACAGCAATAGCAATGAAAGTACTTCAAATTAACTATGTCATTGTTATGAGTATATATTCTTCCTACATCATATACCATCTGTAACATGTAGAATTTTTTCATTTGTACCAGCCTCGCTGTACGATGCACCTCCTGCTCGAGAGCGTATCTCTCTGTATCATCTCCTTAGGCTTCTTTCACCATGATGAAAGTGCTTCGATGAGGCAACAATCGCATTTTCTGTGACGTTTTGCTACGGTTCACGTCAGCAATAGCCGCCGTTGGCAGAATATACTCTGTTAATAGAGCTGTTTTTTGTTAGACCGGACAATAGTAGGTAGAAACTCGAGACTCTGCCTCTGAACTTCTCTTTTTTTTTATTTTATCTGAACTATCAGCTGCCAATGAATGCCAGCTGAGCTGCCGTCCCGCAATTGTGTAATGTATGATAGAGGACACTGTATATATTCGATTGATTTTAACGTATTTTAGCTATCCTCTATTGGCATAATACATATATGAGTACAGAGCTGCTGTCTAGTGTACAGCCTTTTGTGCACTGACGCGGCGACCCTTCTAAAATAGAAATACGACAATTTACTATTTAATGAATTCAAATGCTTAAACGTAACGGAGTAGCCGCTTGAACGTAGTGTGTTTTTACTGTATAGTTAGAGCACAATGCACAGAGACACCTATCACACAAGATTCATATATGGGTTTCTCGATCACGGCCCGTATAGAAGGGGTTTTTCATAAATATAATGTATTTTTTAGGCATCAGAGCAGAAATAGCGTGCACTAGGACCACGCTTAGAATGCTCTCTGTCTAGATGTTTCTGTTTATTAAATGGCGCTTGAAACAGTACATGCTTAGCCAACCTCGCGCAGAAAACACGAGTTTGAAAAGTTTCGAGATGGGGTCGATCTAGGACAAATAAAACATGAACGCTGAGCACGATAGGATTTCATTAGAAAGTGTTCCTGACCTTTTTCTCGATTAACTTAACCTTACTATGTTTTCAAATTAGATAAGCACTAGTAGCGTCGGTGACGTCTTGCAGGCAAATTCGGCCTTCGTTTTCTGAGAGGGGATGGGACCGTTAAACAGTTAGACTCTAACTAGACAGGAAATAGAGGAAAGATATATGCCAGAACAACTGTCATTTCTAAAGCCAAAAATACTGTAATCTCAGATTGAGTTGAATGGCTTGCGTTGCTTTATCTTACCAAATCAAAGGAGCAGGTCGACCTATTCCCTTAGCCTAAACTGTAGCCTATTACAGCTTTTGCTTCAGGGAAAATGGCCTAATGCTCGCTAGGAAACAGCAAGAGTCAATTTGCAGGGTGCGATTACGTAAGTGGCATAAGCGACAGGGCCTTTTCTAATAGGAACAAAGCAGGCAAACTCTACTGTCCTACCTGACTACCTAAGCTCCTGCAACTCCGTTCAGTCTCTGGCCGATGACTCTCTCCGCGTTCCTGTCTCTCTCTCTCTCTCTCTCTCTCTCTCTCTCTCTCTCTCTCTCTTGTTCCTAACAAGCTGGTTATCGGAACGATTTCGAATAGAGAGTAGGCAGTAGTGGTGAGTGAAGGGAAAGGAAGCACACATTTCACAGTGTCAAGAATTGTCAGCTAGAAGCGATTTCTTAACAGGCGCCAGACACTCGGCTAGTCGCGCTGGTGTATGCAGGCTATCAGAATCGCCAAATTGCTTCGTTAGCTCCCCTCATAGCGAGGCATAGAGATGCTTGATAGAACAGCACAAGTGTGTGTGCCTGCCGAAACGCTGTCGACTCCTCGCTTAGAGAACTGTACATCTGCCTGTTAAACCTCTGCGACGTGCGGACGGCTGCTGTCTTTTGGGTAATCAGCTGGCACTGCCTGCTGTTATGTGAACGCTATTAGTTTTTCCTTTACCAACTTTATGACCACTGATCCTAGCGATGATATTCTATCGTGTATTGCCATTGTATCAACTGCGGTTTACCTTCGTGAGCGTCACTTTTCCTTAGTTTTAAGTTTCTGCCATTTGTTTTCGTCTCCCGCTCTGATCTACGCTTGCTCAAGTCCGTTCTCTTGTCGCCGTAATTCCATAATGCTGATTGGTATTTTTATTTCGTTCATTGACTTCGCTTTTGTTTAAACGGAGACCTAAAAATCTGTTCGTCAGCCCGGTAGCGATGCTGTGCCGGGCGGCACTTATTGGCTTTCACACCGTCGATATTTCTAGCTTAGTTACAGAATCGGTTAGACTTCTGGATAGGTGTCGTTCGGAGTTCAAGTGAGTGAGTCAGGGCACTCCAGTGCTGAGACTACTAGGAACTGGGAAAGAAGCCGGAAAAAGACGACAAATTATTATCGAAGTTATTTTTGGACGGCAATAGGAAAAACATTTTTGTCAGTGTTTCGTCTCTCTTGGCGGGTCTTTCGAGTTATATACAAGTGCATTTTCCGAACTAGCCTCATACTGAATAGGCTCCAAGCGTCATGCTAAGGCTATATCGGGGAGAAATCTGTTTTACGAAGACCTTATTAAAATTCTGTGGTTATGAACCTGTATGCAAATTAGAGTATGACATAAATAATGTAAAAAAATCAGTTAATTTGTCGACTGCTTGCCCGCTTACATTGACTCGGTTACGTCAGCTGGGCTCGGTAGCTTCGCCGAAGGCAGATAGATACCGATAATGAGATAATCGATTGGAAATGTACGCAAACAGGGAATTATAGCATCACTAACCGACAGCAGATCTGCATTGCAATGGACGAAAACGTATGGACGTAATACTTCTCATTAAAATGATCTCGCCTGTTTAACTGATTCGTAGCTGCTAGGATTTCCAATTTGCCTTCCATATTAGGTATTTTGTATAGTACACATCTGAGTACACTATGCACTACGTTTATAAGTATATCTAGTTTATGAACTATCCCTGTAGAAGTTCCGCTTGTTTGGCCTTTGTTTATAGATCAGGCGATTTTCACTGCAAAGTTGAAACTTGAGTTGATATAATTTCTTGCGGAAGGAACATTAATAGTAATTTACAATAGTTGTCTTCTCAAAGGGGCTCTAGTATAATATATTATCGAACAGTCTCCCAAAGAGAGACCAGGGGTAAATTATATATAAACGATTTACGGGCTCTGCGGTATGGCAGGTATTTATCTAGCTCACCGCCTTTTAGCCACAATTACTATAAAGACAATGATTTTGACTATTGAAATCGATAAATAAATATGCTCCCAGCAAATTTGCTCGTTTTTGATTAACTGAGAATCAATACGCTTCGCCTTAAAAAAACAGCTCGTTTTAAATATCAAGAAGGCTATCCTAATCTATAGAGCCCTGCAGCCATAATTCTGCGAAACGTGAGTCACTTACCTTTTTTTTTCCTTTTCTCTTTCTAGCTGTTAACTAAATCAACTGTTTGATCTTCCACGAGATAGCACCCGTCTTTCGATAGCATAGCTTACTTCATCCGATTGTTTGAGTGGGTGGTCCCGTCGATCTCCATTTCTTATACAGCGTTTCCAGCGAAACGCCCGACCCATGACGACGCTTGGAGTTGTAAGCATTCGCTGCACTAAATCTTGGTATTTAGCTGAGACCCTTAAGGCATCACCCTGTTCGCATTTGTATATTGCAGGTGAAGAAAAGTATATTCTATCTTTTTGGTGATTACATTTTCCAAAATATAGTTAGCTTGTATTATACATTTTCACACAACCGTAGGGTGAAATTTCCAAAAAAAAGAGACGAATTAAATATACGGCGATAATAAATGAAAATAGAAATGACCTGAAGGCTAAACGATACAAAACAAGAGGCAAATGAACGCCTTGGTAAAATGGTATGACACGAAGCTAAAAAACTGAAAAACCAACCAAAAAATCAGAAACTAACTTGGAAATGCTATAAAATGAAGGTGGCCGATATTATAGACAAGATTATTTCGCTTGAGCGAATCGAAATTTGGGAAAAACGAGCTTGAAAAGCAAATAATTAAAAACAAAATATCGTTCGGCAAGTTTACAAACGGCTCCGTACGAAAACAGGGCTTTATCAGCCTTCGAACCTATCTGCATCTTAGGCGCGCGCCTAACAGAAAACAGGTGTGGAAAGTTTAAGGGAACTAGAAACTACTTAAGACCTAATGAAGACTTCTCTTTGCATTATGGCAAATTTGTGCAATCTAACACTAATCAAAGTTAAGTTGGAATGAAGCAAATATCATCTAAAAACATCAGCCTTATGTATAGAGGTACGTGCGAGCTATAGTCCCAGCTACAGCACCGCATTTATCCAGCACGGTTTTAGGCTCAATAGGCCATCGCCCCGCTGTTGATGATGTACAGAAAGCTTTTACCACAAGTACATGTCAGAGGTTATATAAACACGGTGATCTTGTGAAAATTCATTTTCATCATCTAGCTACTGCCGAATTATACTGCTTAGTTAATTTGATTTTCTCGCTGTTGTCAGGAAATTGGCTTCGGTTGGTTCGCGGCCAACGACAAAAGCATCATGCTGACCCAATTTATTATAGTAAGTATATATCAGCATATATAGATGTGAACGTGTACATAAGCTTATGTGCAGCAAAGCAATCGAGCGTGTCTAGGTAATAAAAAATCCGCCCAGCACGATCAATCCGTTGTTAGCTAGACTGTTCCCGCTAGTAAGAACGTCATCGCCATAATCACCATCGCCGTCGACTAGAACAAGCAATATCAAAGCAGCTCTGTATCGAGACGACAAGGGAATCAGATGTAGGTTTTTTTTACATGGGCCCCGAATGACACTCGACTCAAGTGGATTGTGGACATTGTTCACTGCTGGGTTTTACTGCGAATCCTGTGGTAACCTCGTAGGTCTTTCGACAAGCTGTGACCCTACTCGATCTTACGCGTTGTGATCTCGCAACGAGCCTTTGGGCTAGCTGGAGAACAGCAGAAGGATGTCGTGGTTTCGGTGTCCTAGACAAGTGGAGTTGACCCACTTGGCATTCAAGCCACGTCCTTGCCGCCACTGTCCAATAGCCTCACTCCTTCAAACAGACACACTGAGGTACAACAGGGAGTCAGTACGATTTCTATTAGGGGTAGGCTGCCAGGCCTCCTCCTTCTTTTTAGCTGCTTCTAGTAGTGACACCCCCTAGGCCACCATTTCGCTATAATGTATGCAATTTGCTGCTGGTTTCAGGTACTAGTGGAGTTTGGAAGGCAGATGTCACTTTCGAATGAGGACTCACCTTGCGCCGTGCTCCTTCCAGTATATTAGCACTCCGCCAGACAGCCGGAAAGAGAGTACTATATGGCAGTGCGACTTTGTCCTGCTGATTGTGCCTTAACGATACTCTATATTCTAAATTTAGTTTTGGAATTTCTTATGTAAAAGTAGACAATATACATGTGAATGCAAACGTATCTACCTCTAATATAGGGAATACGAATTGATAGACGACGCCCTAATAAATACTAACTCATGCGATAATATATTCTATTAAAAAAAAAAAAAAAACTATTGCGAATCTCTCCTTGCAGATCACAGCTGAAAAGATATACTACCATTAATTAAAAGCCAATTGCGCGAAATGTCAGAGCTTATGGTCTCTTAATCATTCCTAACGTTCAATGTGGAAGACGAACCGAGGTAACCACCCTATGCGCTAAGAAAAAAAGAAACAGCTTTCGAAAAATCTCTTAAATCCCCAACGCTTTTACAGCGAGCATCTTCCATTGATTTAACTGCTCGGAAATTCTTTGCGACATGTCTGGGTTCCAATGTTCGAACCTTGATTAGCGATTACGATTCGCTAGGACGCGGAATTTAAGCCAAAGAGAAGGACATCGTCTGACATACTACATTTCTATAACAGCGGGCTCGACTGTGTAGCTGGCGGCAGGCGTAGTGGCGGCAGGCCACTCAGAAAGTGTCTCGGAGACAAAGAAAAAACTTTTTAATGAACAAGTTCGTATTGATGCGTCTGAATTTGAATCTCGCAGCACCAAGAGGGAACGCGTCAAGCGTGGGAATTTTTATGGACGATCAGCTTTGGCAGGCCAGTTCGGGCGTGGTGCCGCCGTCAGCGTCACAGCTAGTAGTAGCCGTGGTACCATCACGAATTTAGGATTTCCTCCACAGACCGCTAGCGATAAACTTATTAGTAGTTCAAGCCACATAGCTAGTTCCGCTGTTACCAACAACTAACTCAACTTCTTAATTTATGTCCTACTTACCGGCAACAGCAACTGTTTCAACCACTAATACTATATAGTCGTTGTTGCCTCTTTCTTTGGTGCCCTTGCCTCTTATCGTTTAATTCAAATGGGTCTGTCTTTTTTGCTGTGCCCATACCGCTGTATCGTACGTGTTGGTTTTAGATCTCGTTAGAAGCCGGTACTGTCGCTATTGGCATCGGTTGCTTCAAGTCGCGTCGCGCTTAACTGCTCAATAAGGTAGACACCTAGTGTGGCTCAGGCGTGTCGCTCGTGCGCTTCGCCGAGTCGTAATGGCTGGGTCCGTCTAATTTGGATATGGATATCGAAGTCGATACGAAGACATCGAAAATGAAATGAAGGCAGTGAGCACACAGGTTCGCCTTGCATTAAATTCGCGCATTAAATACAACAAATCGATAAGGATTCTAAATTCGTAAAGTGGCCAATAGGTAAACTGAGAAGGACGAAACAAAGTTAAAGTTTCTAGAAAATCAAATTCAACAATCAAGCTAGCTAGTTATAAAGCTTTTGAGAAGCGTCTAGTCATGGATAAAGCTTTTGGCGGGAGCTGATGAAGAGAATTACGTTGGAGGACGACGCGGGAACTTTCGACCGGTGAAAACTTTTCTCAGGCGGCCTCAAAAGAAAAAAGACGAATTGGAAAGAGCGCAAGATATGGGGGGCATTAGATGGCAGATGCCCGGTGTTTGCATGGAGAACAACGATCATAGGAACCCAAGTGAACGGACCCACACGGGCAGAAATCGCTCGAAAAAAAAATGATGGTAAAGTGATTTATCGTGACTATGAGCTATAATAGTTGGTCTGGTAAATAGGAAATATTCTTACATCGTTTATATATGAACGACTGATCTTGTGAAATGGAAGATGGCTATTTCCCTAGTGAATGATTGCCCTAATTTACAAATAGTAAAATGAACAACGGGGTAATACAAGATATGTATTAATAGCATTTCGCATGAAGGTGATATACTTCAACATGTATAAATATTTCCTCATACTGCTTTGAACTTCTCATTTCAAAATCAAGTATAAGTGTTATTTCCAACAGCGATCGAGTGAGCTCACAAGCACCATACAAGAGGGTCAATATACTAGCGCATTTACATACTCATTTGATTAGGGCACACTAAATGCTTCCATATAGTCGGTACTTATAAAGTGTACGAAGTTATACCGAAACTGCCATTTGTCCTACGGCACCTTTCGCTTATTCGTTCATAAGGCGAAGCTTACCAAAATCTTTCAGCATCTGCTCAAGTCAAGTCGGCCAATGGAGCTTCCTTTGCGCATTCTCCGACATACATAGTGTGTGTCTAGCTGTAACTTAAGATCCGTGAACGTCACGCCAACTCTTATCCCTACTGGCGCCTGTACCCCACTTGGAAGAGTTGTAAACTGCCACTCTATTCCCTGTGTCTCGGCTCGGTATCACGTGTTTCGCATATATTGAGGCGCGGCGGCCATCCAACTCCACTCAATCCTCAAAACTCTATCACTTTCGCCAACGACGCGAAGGACGCCTGCAGCGAATAGCACATCCTAGCACCTTCTGCGATCCTGGCCAGTCTACTCAGCTGCTCATCTTGTCCCCCTCCCTGGCTCCCGCTCGCGATCTAGCCTTCGCCACGGTCTACCACAGAACCGCCGTTGGGCCTTCTGCATCTCCAATAAATTTAAGCCCTCCTGTCTTTTCCTGCCGGTCTCCTGCGGACCGTGGCTACTTGCCGGAAAACTGCTAAAATTTAAGCCAGCGGGTCGTTCCGTTAGCGAGACTAGCTATGGTGCTCGCTCTTGTCATGCCATAGCTCGCGTTTCAGCGATAATCCAACGAGGGAAATAAGTAGCCAACGGCCGTCTAGCGTCTCATACTTAAGAATCGTTGGGGATTTTCGGCGATCCAAGTTGGCTTGACTGTCTGCAAGCAGAGCCGGTTACACACGGCGTAAACTCCCTGCGAGTAACTACCTATAGTGTTTTCTAGCGGCCAGGAAACTGACCCAGTTGTTAAAGACTCTTGAGTGTACCAGCGGTACCGGTCACACCGACCATCGGCCAGGGGTCGCTCGGGTTGTCTCGCCATGTTCGTCTCGACCCCAGCGTCACAATACTCTGCTGAGCTGGTAGGAAGAAAGAAAGCTTCGCTGAGGGTCTAGGGCGGACGGTTCGGGTTTTCGGGCATTTGCAATGAGAAAAGTGCCCAACTGAGACTTGTGTGGAACTTTTTAATTCTGATTAGAATAATATTCACATTAAACTACACTGTATAGGGTTGACTCAAGTTCGTTGGCAGGCCGAGCCACACGACGGCTGCTTGCTTGGCTCGCCGACAGGCAAACTTGGTAGTTTATTGGCAAACGCCGCTGCTAGACCTGTATAGCCGTGTGCTGTATGTCTTTGCACGTACATATGTGTCTGTATTGGTGAGATTATTATGCCCCTATGGATAATGTGATGTTAAACTCGGGTTTGCAAGAAATGAGTTCCCATTTGGGGTTAAGCAATGCATGAATACGAATAGAAGTTACGTCATTTTTGACTTTACTGTTATTATAATTAGTGTTGTTGGCATCATCATTAATGTCAGTAGATGTTTCGCCTTATTACTCCCACTAGATAACCTATTGAGTCTTAAACTCTTATTATGTCTTTCGAGTGAGCAATGAATTCATCATTTTCCCGTGTCACAATGCCCGTTGCAACGGGCAATTATTTATCATTTGCAATTAATGTAATAAAAAGATTGTTTCAATTCATGTACAATTATGAAAACCTTCGATTACTAGGCATATTTAGGAACGTAGCATCCTAGAAGAATCCTCGATCACAAATCAGGACACGCACAAACTGAATTGAACAATATGACCATTTCGCAAAAAGCCGATATGAATGTTCATGAAAAATCCACCACGCCAGGCCGGCAAAACTGAAGGGCAGGCAATCATCAAGCATACTCGTGGCACATTCCTCTCAGTAGACTGATTGAGATTTGTGTGACAGATCGCTCTATCTGCATGACTTTTCCTTTTGATTTTAGTTTCTATTACTATTACCGCCTCTTGTACTGGTGCTACTGGTCCCAACACTGCTAGATAGATGCAGCATAACGTCATTCAGATATTTGCATTTCTCTATGTACATGCTCGTCGTCTGACTATCTCCGGGACAAATGTTCGCTTGGCCTACCCTCTATCGTCATTAAGCCACCCTTCATCTAGACCTCTTGACTGCCTTTGAATGGTACCGCCACGTTTGGTTGGTGAATCTACATGTAATGTTGCACGTTATCTCTCTCGACCTCTCCCTATCCCTGTCTATGATTGACTGTCATGCCCCTGCTAATATGTTCCGTACGCGCACAACCCCTTCCCTCCAGCTACTGTGAATCCCTTAATTAAACCACTTGTTGGCCCCCGCACTTAGTTTGCTTACACTGAACCTTTTTCACCTTATAAATTGCAGCGCTTTTCCCCTCTTACTAATGTACGTACGCACATATGCACCCGTGGGCAAATCCCGATTGGTGGTGGTACTTTCACTGTCGCTGCAAATGTAGCGAGCTTATGTCTGGGTCTCCCTGTACGCACTATACTGCGATTCTGTTTTCGTTGACTTCTCTCAGCTACGGTAATGCATCGACGAATGCACGAAAACGAATACAATTATTCGCTCCGACAGGTACGAACGTATTTACGAGCAGCTTTACAGGTATTAAGGACACTAACGATATGCCCTCGAAGAGACACACCCCGACAATAGAACCCGCATTTTTTCAAATATTCATTTATCTAACGCCGGACCCATTTAGCCTACAAACACTAAACGAGCAGCATTTAGTTCGTTCATTGCAGTCTGGACATTAGCGACCGTTTACATATTTGTAACATTTCATGATTTCTACAATTACTTTTAAACCAGAAACATGTTCTGCCTATTCGGAATGTGTGAAAATTTGCTTTTTTAATTAATCAAATGAAAACTTTATTTAATCAATTTATTTTCACTCCAAGTTGAGTGAATAGGATAATCAGTCGATTGTCCTTCTACTCTTATTACTATAATATGTTGCATTTTTGTACTAATTATGTAAACAAGCACAGACAGAGATTTCTTTTTTGTTCAAAATGTCTATTTCTATTCGATTTCATAGAATCCGAGTACTACTACATAACAA